CTCAAGAGGCCTGTTATGTTTGCAAATTTCTACAGTTTCTATCAAGATGTGAATATATATAAAAAAGTTATTGGCAATTCCATTTTGAAGAGATTATGATGAATTAGCTAGTTGCACAAAAGCCCAGCACTAAATTGACAACTTTGACAGACCATCTCCAAAATGACTAACTACTATGTATTACTCCATCCTTCCCAAAAAAGGGGAAGAAAGGAGTAGCAACAGATTTTTCTTGTAATTCACTCTTTCACCTTGCCCTATTTGGCCTTGCATTCAATCTTCATTATAATTCCAACCTGCATCTTTCTTTCCTGAAACCTATACTTCCATTCTGCACTCCCTCACCCCAACTAGCCTGCCCCATTCTTGCTTGATTTTCCTCCCGTGGACATCTGGCTCTCCAAGATCAGAGAAGAAAACATCTCACAAATGGAGTTACAGGATATTCTAATCATATCAGGCAAAATCCAAAGAAGCAAAACAAGACAAAAACACGTGGCACTTTAAAGACTTCACTATTATATTTTAATGTGGATACATCCACTTCATCAGGATATTTTAAGATATGTCATGTAGCAACAGCCCAAGAATAAATAAATAACAGTGTCCTGAGGTTGCCCTGAGCCAATCACAGGAAAACAACAAAAAAGTTAAAGTGATGATTCCCTTAAAGGAAGTTTTTGCAATAGAACAAGAAAAGTAATGTGTTATCCGTTTGAGAAGGAAAGAAGGGAAAGCATTAAAACTGACATGAGAATCCTTTCTGTGAGATATGGAACATGAGTACAGTGGGGTCTTGACTTGAGAACTTAATCCGTATTGGAAGGCGGTTCTCAAGTCAAAAGGTTCTCAGGTCAAATCTGCATTTTCCATAGGAATGCATTGAAAACCATTTGATCCGTATCTGCTCTTTTCCGTCCATAGAAACTAATGGGAAGCTGCTATTCTGCCTTCGACCACTAGAGGGGGGATTTTTTCCCCCCCTTAGGTCAAGAAAGGTTCAGGGAAGGCAGGGAAAATACAGTCCAGGCAGTACAGTACCAGGCAGTCTGAAGACTGTCTCCCAATCCACTCTTTAAACGCTGGGAGGAGTGAGGAAGCAGACAGGCCCCCTTTTCACTGGCCAACAGTTAACTGAACGTTCACATTTTGCACTTTCCCTGCCTCCCACAGGGGTTTTTTTAGTTCTTAACTCAAATCTAAGTACTTAAGTCAAGTCAGTATTTTCCTATGAGAACAGTTCTTAAGTCAAAATGTTCTTAACTCGAGCCGTTTTTAAGTCAAGACCCCACTGTATGTTACTCTGCTGTTTGTATACATTACATGCCTAGGCAGCAAAGAAAAGCATTTTGGAAGCACGGAAACTGCTGGATCCACAATTTCAAGCAGCATCCAAGTGTGTGCATAACAGAGAAAGAAATAATGTGAATGGTTATGATAATGAGAGGACAGATGTTCTGGCCTCACTCATAGCTTGGAAATAACAAATAATGTAACTAGTATTTGTGAGTTACTTCCAAGGTGTATTATCAGTAACACCTAGTTGCTTCCAGAAATTGCTTTAACTAGCATTTTGTGGCACTTTTTTGAGCACTGTAAGTAATGCCTCTTGTAAGAAAACACAATTGTTAAAAGTATCAGCTAATATTAAAAGGAGATGTCATTTACAGCCCCAACCTTTTGCCTTTGGCATGTGTGGAGTGTGGCCATAAGGAACTTTTTGGAAACAAAGCAAAACACAGAATTGACTGATCCATGGCCTAAATGAAATAATGAAGAAGGAGGAATAATCTATTTTATTTATTTATTTATTTATTTGATTTTTATCCCGCCTATCTGGACCAACGGTCCACTCTAGAGAAGAATAACACAGCTAGTTGAACCGTACATAGCTTAGACCAGTGACGATGAACCTTTTTGGGTCTGAGTGCCCAAACTGGGAAAAAAACAATGGGCAGTGAGTGGCAGTGGAAGTGGTGGCAGAAGCGGGAATCCCGGGCATGGAGGTGCCTTGAGAACCCACTCCAGATCTGCCACCAGCACCACCTGCTCCGGATCCTGGCCCACTGCCTGTCATGGTGCCAGCACCGCAGCTGCAGCTGCCTCCTCAGGTTTGGCTGCAGGGGGTGGGATAGTGATCCAGAGACTTATGGCCCACGTGCCTGTAGAGAGGGCTCTGTGTGCCAGCTGTGGCACGCATGCTATACGTTCCCCATCGCTGGTTTAGACCAATGGTGATGACAGTAAACACACTGCTGTCCATCCTTCAGTGTATGATCTTGTGGGAGATGAGAGAATCAGGAAACACTTTTCACAAAGAAAATCAATCAAATGCAAATACTCTTCACTTTCTTTTTAGTTGTGATGCATATCTGTTATCTTATATTTAACATATTGCAGTGAACAATGAAGCCATGGGAAAGGAGAGCTAAGTTACCTTTATTTGATTATTGAAATAATTAAATACAATCTTAAATTTTCCATAAGAATTGTTTATAACTTAATTGAGATGTAATAATAATAGTCATGTGTTATCAAGTCAATTTTGACTTATGGTGATCTTTTTCAGAATTTTCCAGGTAACCACTAAGTTACCCAAGCCAGAAAAAGAGAATACAGTAAAAGCCAATGTTCAGGATGAAGCAGCAGCGATAAAACCCTGCAGACTGAATGAAACAATGTTCCTTCCTGGAGAAGACATTTCACATGCAGGATGCCACTACCAATAAGTTATTTGCCTCATCACCAATTCTCCTGAAACACTATCAGCAGGATCTCTGATGACAAAAATTTAGCAGAGCTCTGTATTTAAGGTACTGTACTGAGTTTCAATCCTACAGTGGGATCTCGACTTACAAACGGCCCTACTTACGAACAATCCAACTTATGAACCCACCCGACAGGGAAATTACATACTCAACATACGAACTTCCCTCGAGTTACGAAGAGGAAAAAAGTGCCCCCTCCCTCCCCTTAAAGGCTTCTGGAGGGGAAAAAGGTCAGAAACTTAAAAATAAATAAAAGAAAGTCACTTACCAGGCCTTGGTAGCCCCCGAACTGCAGGAAAAAGAGCAGCAAACAGATAAAAGCCGACACCCAGAAGGGAGCCTGGCAGCCATTTTGTGCTCCCCCCCCTGCTCCTGCCCCCCCTCTGCCCGCCTAACAGCTGATCGGCTGGCTCTGAAGAGGCTTGGGGAGGCTTGCTCAGCACCTAAAAAGCCTGCCTGTGTGTCTTTGTGCTGAAAAAATCAGCACAACATGCTTTAAAACATGCTTTAAAATTGGCTTCGTTGAAAAAAAAGATTTCAAAAGTGCTTTTAAAACTGTTCCCTGTCTCCCCCCTCCTTTTCTGAACTTTTCTTGATCTAAGGGAAAAAAAAGAAAAAAATATCCCCCTCTAGTGGCAGAAGGCGGAATAGCAATTTTCCATTAGTTTCTATGGACGGAGAAGAGTAGATACGGATTAAATGGTTTTCAATGCATTCCTATGGGAAATGCAGATTCGACCTACTAATTTTTCGACCTACGAAACACCTTCCAATACGGATTAAGTTTGTAAGTCGAGACCCCACTGTATTTAGGATTTTGAATTGTATCTAGAAATAGAAACATTATCCTGTAAGTCTCCACTGAAGCCCAGTTGCTGTATCTTATACCAACTTAAGTTTCTCAGAAATTTTCTAATGCAGCCCCACCAACAAGAAGGTTTCTAAAGGCATGAATAACTATGGCCAGACCCTCTCTGTCCAGGAGAAACCACAGTCACCTTGCCAATCTTAGCAACTGTTTTAGTGCGGTGATTGTTTGATTCTTTTAAAATATTTTTAATATTAAATATTTTTATATTTAATATTTTAAAATGTTAATACTTACCATTTTTAACTTTCAAATATTGTATTTTATTAATGTATGCTGCCTTGTGTCCTTTTAAAGGAGAAAGGCAGGGTAACAAATATTTTAAATAAATAAATAAAGCTGCTAACTGATATAGGTTGCTTACCAGTGACAAGTTCCTTATCCATATCTAGCATCACCTCATTAAACTTGGCTTAATTAATCAAAATCCTCAAACTGCAAATTCTATTGTACAGGAAGCACTACAAAACTCGTTAAACACCACCTCACTGGTCTGCAAGGCCTATTAACCATTTTGATATGGTGAATCCAAACCAATTTGAATTACCTTAACCATACAACAGCTTTTTACCTTATTTTATATATCATCAAATCATATCTAATTTATATAGACCTAATAGGGTTTTCGAGGTAGATGTTTTCCTGGTGTCACTCCCTCCCTAAGTGAGTTTCTATGGGTGGTCAGGGATTTGAACCCAAGCCTCCTTAGTCCTAGGACATCACTCTACACACTGCACTGGTTCTCTGTAACTTTTTAAGTACTTCTAAATGTCCCACAACTGAACTGATAATCTTGAGGCATGTTTAAAAAAGTCAAACTGCCCTATTCTCTGAAAAGTTAATGAAAGGCTTTTGTTTACTGTTATTAGATGATAACAAATACTTTGGAAATGTAGCTGAAGAAATTGATATAAATGAAATACATAAGCAACCATTTGGACATGCAGATCTGCAGGCTCTGAAAATGGCTGTAAGAAAAAAAAACAAGCTAGCCCCTTTCCTCTTCTGGTAGGGGTTGATGCAGATATTCCCACACATTTTAGACATTGGCTTAAAAATGCAAAGGATGTGAAAAGCAGCTCTCAACGCAGGGCTCCCATGAAAAGCAAAGCGTGCTGCTTATATACTGCACTATAGCATTTAAAGCACTCTCGGGGAAGTTTACAAGTTAATTATGCAGGCTACACATTGCCCTTCCAGCCAGCTGAGTATTCATTCACCCTGGGAAGGATAGCAGCTGAGTCAACTTTGAGCCAGCTAACCTGGGACTGAACCCGGGTCGTGAGCAGTTTGGGCTGCAGTACAGCAGTTCAGCTACTGCGCCACAAGGCTCCATGCGTTTCTTGCAAAAGGGGGGGGGGGGTTTCAGCATTTTGTGGTGCCTCACCTGCCATAAAAGTTGATAACAGAGGAGAAAAAGATCCCACAAAAGGCCTCAGTAGGAGTTGCTGCGGTTGGGAAATGAGAGAAGGGTTACGGCTTGCCTAGCCTGGGGAAGAGCTAGTCACTGGCCACTCAAAAGGATGAGCGCAGGAAAACCAAGCAAAAGGAAAGAGGAAAGCCAAGGAAGAAGAACACTCACCGCCGCTGCCTCCGCCTTCAGAAGCCGTTCCGACCTAAGCAGCAGCAGGGCCAAGAGGAGCGCGACGCCCATCCACTGCCCGCGGCTCCTCATCCTTTCGCTCTGGCCGCTGAGGAGTGAGAGTCGCTCTGCTGGTGCTCCCACGTGCCTTCGCCCAGAGACCCCACCCCTGGACCGAGTGACTGACTCTCGTGTCCCGCCTAAGACACTTCGAGAACAGGAGAGGGAACTTGACTCTCAGTCCGGCTTGTGGGCGGTGGCAGCCCCTCCTCTCCCTACGGGCCGGACGACGCAAGAAGCTGCCTTTTCAAGGGCTCAGCCAGTTCCCGCTTCCTCGGCGATTCCAAAGACCGCGAGGAAGAGCGCGCGCTTCTTGAGGCGCTACCTGAAAGCATCCGATGAGGCTGGAAGGTGAGTACCTGCACCGCTGCCGAGTTCATACTTTAGCGGCGTCGCGTAGCCTCTCCGGTCGTTCAGGCAGAGACGGCGGACGTGCCACCCCGGGATATGGGCCCCTGGGTGTCCCTTTTCAACCTTCCTCCCCGGAGCGGAGAGGCTATCTTCACTTCTTGCTTCGCGCTTGCTTATGTTTGCCCGCGTCCGCAAGGGAGCACCTAAAAGGCAAGCCTCTCTATTTCCGGAGCGATGGCCGTATTAACTGCAGCTGCGAAGCGGCACTGTGAGGGAAGAGAAAAGATTTGTTTAGGTGTGCGTAGGCGCAGACACTTTCCTCCCCATATAATAACTTGCCATTTTGGATATTGTAGGCGCTGCTTTGATACCAGTAATAATAATATTGCCACTCCCGGGTTGGTTCTTCAAAATTAAAGAAGCAAAACTGATACCTCCGAGTGAACATTCCTGTGCGTTTTTTCTCTCAGGTTCTTGGGGCCTTTTATTGTACTGTACAAGGAAACAAGGAGAAGGAGAGTATGAGAAGCTCCCAGCAACTCCGCTTATCACCCTGGAGCTGGCAGTAAGTAGTCAATGCTTCTAACAGGCACTTACTTACTTACTTACTTACTTACTTACTTACTTACTTACTTACTTACTTACTTACTTACTTACTTACTTATTTGATTTATATACTGCTCCATTAGTGCAATGCACTATTCTTGGTGCCTAGTGTTCCTGCAGGTGCTAAATATAATGTTGAAAACATTTGGGGGAATCTCCTGACTATGTAAAGAGTACTGTGACTGCTTTCAGTCCATTGTAATAATTCGAGTCTTCAATTTTCTGTACAGGACTTTGCAAACTATTGTATTCTTAGGACTGACTGTCTTCCTATGTAGAAGAGTACAAGCTGTAAGTATATTAGCTCATTTCTAGATAAAATTTTATCTCTACAAGAAATTTTTAAAGAATTGTCTCAGCTTTAAGGTACTGCCAAATGCATCTCATTATCCTTTTTGAACCAACTTCTGTGTGTGTGTGTGTGTGTGTGTGTTTGTGTGAAATGTGAATTAGAGTTTTTTTCCTTTCCTTTTTCTGTCTTTATTGTGTGATGCTTGTGATGAAGTAGTACTGTAGTCAAAACTCTTCTCAGGACCCAGGTTCAATCCCAAATAATTACAGTGGTGCCTCGCTTAACGGGCGCTCCGTTTAGCGATGAAACCGCATAGCAATTAACTTTTTGCGATCACATTGCGATGTTTTAAATGGTTTTTTTCGCTTTGCGATGATCGGTTCCCTGTTTCACTTACTGATCATCGCAAAGCGATTATTTTTGAACAGCTGATCGGCAGTTCCAAAATGGCCGCCAGGTAAACAAAATGGCTGCCCGTTGTGTTTTCGCACGGATTCCTTGCTTAAGAGGCAGCGAAAATGGCCGCCGTATGGAGGATCTTCGCTTTAAGGTCAGTTTTTTGGCCATAGGAACACATTAAACAGGTTTTAAAGCGTTTCTATGGGCTTTTTAAAATCGGATAGCAACGAAATAGCTTAGCAGCAATTTTTGCTGCACGGATTAACATCGCAATGCAAGGCACCTCTGTACATTGTAAACCACTCAGAGTGCTTTAAGCACTATGGGGTGGTATATACACAGCAGGCTTTGTTTTGCTTGGAAGTTGTACACAGACTTCTGTACAAAGTGGGAAAACTTAAATCTTTGCATTGTTTAAAATAGATCAACAAGGATCTCCAACTCTCATTTAATTAACAACAAACCAACAAATGATCCTTCCCAAAGGATGTTGCTGTAATAAATATAACAGGAGTGGATCTTTGTATGGAAAGATCATGAGCACTGTTCAGTTCTGGTATTGAAGGCAAATTTCTGGTCTGAGAATCATTCAGTCCTACATTTATGGGGTTTGCACTAAGTTCCAGGGTTATATATCTTATATTCATGAAGGTTTTGAGGTTAAAGAAAAGATAAGATCTGCCTACCTGTGGCTCTTTTCAATGGAATTATAAATGGTCATTCAGTAATCTTGATTTACTTCAGGAATTCCTTCAAAATATTTGTGGTAGTTTCTTTTCTGCCATCTGTGTTTTTGCACATGAATTTATTTATTTTATTTACTTTATATACTGCCTTTCTCCTAAAGGGTCCAAAGCTACTTACAGTATTAATAGAAAGTTAAAAGCTAAAATAATTACAATGGTAAAAAAGAATTAAATAGATATATTAAAATTTAAAAACAAGAGCAATATTAAAAACAAGTAAAACAACAGGAACAGTAACCACTTTTTTTTTTTAAAAAAAAGCCCTTTCTCAACCAGTCACTTTAAAGAAAGCCTACCTGAAGAGAAGGATCTGCTTGCAGAAGGACAGCAAAGATGGGGCCAGCCAGGAAGGGAGTTGCAGAGTCCTGAAGCAGCAACAGACAAGGCTCTCTCCAGTGTTCCCACCAAACTCGAGAATGGTGGGACTGAGAGAAAGTCCTCTCATGATGATTTTAATCTTTGAAAATGTAATTATTTAACACTCTGTGTGTGTGTGTGTGTGTGTGTGTGAGAGAGAGAGAGAGAGAGAGAGAGAGAGAGAGAGAGAGAGAGAGAGTAAATAATATAGTCAAGGTTCTGTCTAAGGTGTATGCATGCCCTGCAACTCTGCCTCCCTTGGAGCAGCTTTCCTGCTCTGCACAGTGATTGTTTTTAGCCCTTTGGTTTCAGTCACAATGGAACCCCATGTGTGTGTGTGGGGGGGTGAGTCATGTGCACCTAGCAGAGCTGAAAATTAGAGGATACATTGAATACAGTACACACACACACACAGAAAGAGAGAGAGATGCATAGAGAGAGGCAGACATGTGTTTATATGAGAAAGACTACAATGTGACATTTGCATAATAGAGCATTCTAACCAGTAACAATCTGTTTCATTTTAACTAGAGATGGGGTATTCGTATTCATATACGAATATCCCTGCACAGGTGGTGTTAACGAGGATCCAGCCCCATGGGGCTGGATGGTCCACTCACCGATTCGCCGTGGATGGCACAATTCTACCATTGACTCTGCAGTGTGCGATCCGCTTGCCACTCTTCAACCTTGCAGCGAGCCTTGTCCTCCCACCTCCTGCCAGGAGTGACGAGTGGATTGTGCACTGCAGAGCCATTGGTAGAATTGTGCCATCCGCGTCTGTAGTGGATCAGTGAGTGGACCATACGGCCCCATGGGGCTGGACCCTCATCAACACCACCTGTGCAGGGATATTCGTATACGAATATCCTCATCTCTAGTTTTAAACAATAGAAAGATAACTGTCAGATATATAAAGCAAGTGACAGCCTTTCGCATGATGTATTCTGCATATAAGTTAAATAAGCCGGGGGACAATATACAGCCTTGTTGTACTCCTTTCCGAATTTTGAACCAATCAGTTCCATATCCAGTTCTAACTGTTGCTTCCTGTCCCACGTATAGGTTTCTCAGGAGATAGATAAGGTGGTCAGGCACTCCCATTTCTTTAAGAACTTGCCATAGTTTGCTGTGGTCCACACCGTCAAAGGCTTTTGTGTAGTCAATGAAGCAGAAGTAGATGCTTTTCTGGAACACTCCGGCTTTCTCCATAATCCAGCACATGTTAGCAATTTGGTCTCGAGTTCCTCTCCCCCTTCGAGATCCAGCTTGTACTTCTGGGAGTTCTCGGTTCACATACTGCTGAAGCCTACCTTATTGGATTTTGCGCATAACCTTGCTAGCATGTGAAATGAGTGCAATTGTACGGTAGTTGGAGCATTCTTTGGCACTGCCCTTCTTTGGGATTGGGATGTAGACTGATCTTTTCGAATCCTCTGGCCACTGCTGAGTTTTCCATTGATGATGATAAAAAAAATAGTGCACTGGTCCTTTGATGTTAGGTTGTGGCACCAGGGTGGGTGACATGACCTTTCGCCTGGTTTGTTCCTTTTTGCCCACCACACACAGAATGATGAAGGTGGTAGGAAACCCCTTCCCCAACTCGAAGGTCTCTAGCAAACATGTCATTGCTAGCACCACTGTGGCAGCCATTGATGATGATTAAATCCTCTGCGAGCTAGCAAAAATTTAGTGCAACTTGCTAGGAACATTGGACACCTTACTACTCCCTATACCACCTGTATGGCTGGTGTGCAATGTGTTCCAGCAAAAATAATGCACGTCTTTATTAAATGTGGTGCATCCTGCTAGTTCGGTACACAGGCTGTGTAGATTCAATAAGATTTTGAATTCAAATAATGTATCATTTCCTTCCTTTCAAATCAAGTGGGTAATGTCGGTGTATATAAAAAAATTTGGGGACGAGGTAAAAAAATTTCCTGACCCGTTCTACGTCAAGAAAAAGTCCATAAATTTTATTCACTGTACCCTTTACTGAATCAGTCATCTGAATGTCTTCATATGATAAATGTTCATACTTTGTGCATTCTCTACCTTTGTTATATTTCTTTTCCCATTCATTAGTCCATCTTTCTAATTATATATAATTCAACCATTGTTGTAAACCGCCCAGAGACTTTTGGGTAGAGTGGGCGGCATATAAGTTAAATAAATTTTTACTAAATCTATACCTAAGTATTTAACTGATTTACATATCTTAAAGTCATGTTTCTCAACAAACCTTTCTTGTTCTAATTTACAGTGGTGCCCCGCATAGCGATGTTAATCCGTTCTGGAAAAAATGTCGCTATCCGGAAACATCGCTATACGGAACGTAAAACCTCATAGGAACGCATTAAACTCCATTTAATGCGTTCCTATGGGGGGGAAACTCACCGGTAAGCGAAGATTCCCCATCCAGCCGCCAGTTTCGCTGCCTTGATAAGCGAGGGCAGGGTATGAAAATGCTGCGGGTGGCCATTTTCTGCACCCGGCGGCCATTTTGGAACCGCCGATCAGCTGTTTTCTAAACATCGCAATGCGATCGCATTAGCAATCACAAAAAATGCGTCGCTATGTGGATTCGTCATTAAACGGTGCGCTCATTATGCGAGGCACCACTGTATTATGATTAACAACATTATTTCAGATTTTTGCCAGTTTACACGTAGTCCAGTTATTTTTCCAAATTTTTTTCAAATGAATTTTAATTCTGTCTATACTTTCTAATGGGTTTTTCACTGTCAATAAGGAACCATCAGCAAATAAATTAATCTTTATTATTTCCCCCCATACCTTCAGTTAAGTCATCATTCCTTATTACATTTACTAACATTTTAATAACCACGTGACAACGGAAACTGTCTTCAGACAAGCGCTGGCTCTGCAGCTTGAAAAATGGGATGAGCATCGCCCTCTAGAGTCGGACACGATTGGACTAAAAATGTCAAGGGGAACCTTTAATAATCAAACAAAACAGAACTGGAGAAAGAGGGCAACCTTGTCGAGTGCCTCGACCTAGAGCTATCTGTTCTGTCATCCCATCATTGACTATTACTGCAGAGGTATTCTCCACATATAATTGGTCTATTATCCCCCTAAATTTCTTTCCAAAACCCCAGCCCTTTAACAGAATCTTTAATGTTGGGCATTCTACACAATCAAATGCCTTGAATATGTCTAGTGATAAAATACCTGCTTTTGATTTATCTTTTTCTATATTATATACAATATTCAAGACCCTCCAAGTTAAATTTTCCATTTGTCTTCCCTTTAAAAACCCATTCTGATCCTCTTTAATATATTTTGTAATAAATTTATTCATTCTATTCACAAGTATTGCAGTGAATATCTTTGCATCTTGATTTAATAATGAAATAGGTCTATACGAACTTGGGTCTGTTAAATCTTTATTGGGCTTTGGAATAAGAGTTATTAATGAATGCTTCCAAGAATCTGGTATTTTCTCTACTTCCAGTATCTCATAAAGTATTTTT